ATTACGGAATGCTGCTCAAACTTTCCAAAGATTTATCGATAGCATAGTACGTGACTTCGATTTTGTTGACGTTTATATTGATGATCTGCTGATCGCATCATCAAATGTAGATGAACATTATCAACATCTTACGCTCTTATTCCAACGCCTTTCGGAATAGTAGTTAACCCAGACAGACATTCGTCATAATAAAGGCGAGTCGAACTATGTTGACGATGCTCTTCCACGTATTCAAGCAAATTAAGTTATTTTACTAGTGCTTGATCATCCTGCTATGGACGCTGCCGGAGCTAATGATCCCTCCCGTACAGAAGCACAATAATCGACGTCCCTTCAGTGCCAGGAAGTACCACCAGCTACCACCTCAGGTACTATCCTGTGTGAAAATTCGTCTGGTCTACCCCGACCCATCGTACTCTCTGCTCATCGATGACCTCTATGGCTTGTCTCATCCATGTATCGTAGCTACATTACGTCTTATCGCTGCAAGACGCGTCTGGCATTCCGTGAACAACGATGTCCGTATGTGGGTAATGCAATACCTACAATGTCAACCAGCAAAAGTGCACAGGCACGTAGCCGCCCCTATCGGAACATTTGCTACGCCTGATGCTCGCTTCGATTATGTGCATAGTGACATTGTCGGACCATTGCCACCATCGCATGTGTATGGTCACATACGTGCATAGATCGCTACACAAGGTGACCCGAGGCAATTACCATCACTTCTATTACGGAGGAAACATTTGCTCACCGCCTCGTTGAACGATGGATAGCTCTGTACGGTTGTCCCTTGACTGTCACAACTGAACGAGGACAACAATTCGAGTTCGAACCATTCTCCTTGCTAACTTGGCTGCTTGGTACGGAGCGCATACGCATTACCGCCTTCCACCCAGCTTCGAGTGGTTTGGTCGGAAGGTTTCATCGCCAACTTAAAAGTGCTCTTCAAGCACACGAGGACAACAATTGGTACGAAACCTTTCACACCACGGAGCAGTGATAACTTCGATAAATCAGACTACGTCCAACGATTGTCTAAATACATGCAAGCACTGCCTCGGGTGTCAACTCGAGTACAAAATCGACAGGTCGCTCTTCCTCGAGTGTTATCTACCTGTTAGCACATTTTCATACGAGTCGATTCAGTACGCAAACCTTTGCAACAGCCTTATGAAGGACCTTTGCATGCGAATTCTCGTCACGAAAAGACCTTCAAGGTTGCTATACATAGCCGCGTCGAGGTAGTCAGCATTTATCGTCTCAAACCAGCACACGTGGATGACAGTGCCCTACTTGCTATTCCGAGACCCAATGCTAGACCTATCAAACCTACTAGCGGGATCCCCAAACCTACATCAGGTCCCACGCTAGATGTATCAGAGACCTCACTCTGACGTCCCAGTCGACGGCATACATCATCTGCAATATCTACGGCTGAGAAACCGGTCTCACGTCCAGATCAGCAGACCACGCCGCCCTTGACTTTGGATGAGATTGGTGGCTCACGAGGTACGCTCGAGACTACTCCTCGCGTTCCTGTCGCCGCGTACGCCCAGCTGTACGTTTTCTCGAATGACCACCCAAGCAAACAACGGATACGTGACAGTACACTACCCTCGAACTACATATATCCTATACATTTCTATTTTTCTTTCATTTTGTATCCTGAGACCATGTCTACGACCATCACCCTGTTGTTACCGTCGACTTCAGTCAGTCTTGATGAAAGCTGATCTGATCATCAGTGCTCTTGTAAGTGCACTCAGTCGATGTTTTGGTCTCGAATGTTCTCGTATACGTATGGTTTCGAACTCGATCGTTCTGTTCGTTTCTGGCTCTCTGGCTCAATCTGGTTCCGTACTATGTCTGCAGTTTTTTCTGGTCCGGACAGCTACTAAAGCAATCTTCAGACTCTGAATACGAGTCACGCTAGTGTGGCATGCCAACACGAGCACTAAACTTGGCACGTTGCTACTGGTACAATTCAACGTAAAAAATTCCGATGGCAAGTCGAGCTTCATTGGTCGCTTCCTGTCCGTCAACCCTTCTGCCCTTTAACTGATCGTTAGCCGACTAGTCCTCCTTCCGCACGAAGCCGCTACGTATCGAAAGTGTAAACCCTTTCTAGGGGGGCTAATGTAGTGGTATACTTTTACGAAGAAAACACATTTGCTGATAAATAAACATTTATTATTGTACTTAATTCTGACAACAATTTTTGCACTGTACACCTATTGTTTATCTGTACAAAAGACTATCTCTCGAGCGCCAAGAGCGTTATTACCATTCTCTACGTCTCCTGCGTGGACGTTAGCCGTTTGCACACCCCCTGGCCTCGATATTATTTCGATATCACGAGGCTAGCATTAAATATACTTCTTCCTCTAGAATCGTCTTTCATCTGATTCTTAGACTAACAGGATGAACATTTGATATCCCGCGAAGTATTGTATTATTTGATTAGCTGAAAAAGAGTTGTAATCACTTCAAAGGCTCTCCCAGCCGAGGTGACCTCAGCCCCCTAGCAGACAGCTTTTGGAAGAGACTTGTTAAATGCGTAGTCACATCTCCATCTCGCTTCAGCTGGAGCTGATGCATTGTTCGAAACTCGCCATTTCTTACGGTCGTAGTTTATCAAGATCGTTTACCTATTATGTCTCGCTTATTATCTCTGTTTCCTGTTCTGTGCTTAGGCTTCTGTCTTCTCAGTCATCTTTCACAACTTACTACTTACTTACTTACGCCTGTTACCCCAAATGGAGCATAGGCCGCCCACCAGTTTTCTCCAAACAACTCTGTCCTGGGCTTCCCTCTCCACTTCTGTCCAATGTTTGTTCATCCCTCTCATATCTTTCTCTATTTCTCGGCATAATGAGTTCCTTGGCCTTCCTCTTTTCCTTATGCCTTGAGGGTTCCATGTGAGGGCTTGTCTCGTGACGCAGTTAGGTGCTTTTCTTAGTTTGTGTCCTATCCACTTTCACCACTTCTTCCTGATTTCCTGCTTCACTGGAGCCTGGTTTGTTCTCTCCCACAGTACGTTGTTGCTGATCGTGTCTGGCCAAAGTATTTTGAGAAGACAACTGTTCATGTGCATGTTGTGTTTCATCGGAGAACTTTGCTTTTTCCTTCATGCATGTTGAGACCTACTGCTGCAGAGGCTGCTACTACACTGGTCGTCTTCTCTTGCATTTGTTGTTGCGTGTGCGATAGAAGAGCCAGATCATCTGCGAAGTTCAGATCGTCCAGCTGCGTCCTAACTGTCCAGTTGATACCGTGCTTCCCTACAGCTGCTGACGTCTTCATAATCCAGTCGATCACCAGGAGAAAGAGAAAGGATGAGAGTAAGCAACCTTGCCTCACACCAGTCTTCATCTCGAAAGAGTCTGTGCACGATTTTACAGTTGAATCTATCATAAGAATTCCTTATGATGTTAACTATTTTCTCAGGCACACCGTAGTGTCGAAGAAGCCTCCACAGTGTTTTCCTATCCACGCTATCGAATGCTTTCTCGCAGTCGATGAAGTTGATGTAGAGTGGTGAGTTCCATTCAATTGATTGTTCCACAATGATCCGTAATGTAGCAATTTGGTCAGTGCACGATCGATCCTTACGAAATCCGCCCTGTTAATCTCGAAGTTGGACGTCTACGAAGTCCTTCATTCTGTTTAACAATACCCCGTTGAAGACTTTGCCTGGTATTGAAAGAATAGTGATGCCTCTGCAGTTCTCACACTTGCTGAGATCTCCTTTCTATGGTATTTTGATCAGGTATCCTTCTTTCTAATCTGATGGCTTTGTGAATGCGTTTGTGCGGGAATATTGTGCCACCGATGACCAGTTTTTTGAAGGCACATAGGTTTGCAAATCTATCACCGTCTTCGTTCCTTTCTCCCAGTCCATGTCGTCCAATGATGTCTTCATATCCAGTGTTGTCCATTCCAACATTGGCATTCAGGTCTCCCATAAGAATCGTCAAATCCTTTGGTGAAGATTTCTCGATGACTGGCTGCAGCCTTTCGTAGAATTGATCTTTAACGTCGTCATTGTAGTCGTTGGTATGTGCATAACATTGGATGACGTTCATTGTAACGTCCTGTTTCTTTGTTGTGAAGGATGCTTTAATGATCCTAGGTCCATGAGATTCCCATCCTATCAGTGCCTTTTGAGCATGTTTGGACAGCATCAGTGCAACTCCCTGTGTTTGTGAAGCATTTTCCTCCTCATGACCAGAGTATAACAGCAGTTCCCCTGAAGCTAGTCTCAGTTGTCCTACCTGTGTCCAATGCGTTTCATTGATGCCGAGCACCTTGAGGTTGTATCTTTTCATTTCTGCCGCAACTTGAAATAGTCTTCCAGTCTCCCACAATGTACGAAGGTTCCATGTACCTAAAAGAATGGTTGCTCTGGCCCCGTGACTTCCGATGGAACTCGGCTTTCATCACGCGACGTCATAATTTCCAACTCCCAGGGCAGAGTTAAAATGGTTTGAATTATTTTTTCTGGTTATCGTTTTTATTGGCAAGTTAGTTTTATTTGAGATGGGGGCGTCAACTCCATGTCCAATCCTCCTCCTTTATCTGGGCTTGGGACCGGCTGTAGCCCCTAAGGTTCTACTGGCGGAGTTATCTTTCACAACTGATTAACTTATTTTTTTATTGAGTTTTGAAATTTCACTAGCATCAAACTTTTCTCCTTATTAGTCTCCAAAATGCAACAAACTGAACTCTAACATGGTACAGTGATAGCTGTTGGTATCCAGAACCCCTACTGTCTTGAAACAAATGTACTCTCACAAATCACTGGACACGCAAATCCCTTAATTACTACTACCTCAATGGAATTAGTCAAATAAACGCTTTAAAATACCTGAAACCGTACTGACAGCACAAGAATGGAGTACAATGAAGTTAAGTGGTTGGTTATTATTTGCTCCTGAGAAGGTTATTGGACGTTGGAAACTATCGTACATCCAGCCTTGTGGTTAGGCTCTAAATATAAAAATGACGGTACCGGTGGAAAATGTGAGGGATGTATTGTCTGTCAGAGGTGAGTTTGTAAAGTTATTCTATCACATGCATATTCATACAAGGGAAGTAACGATTTTTTAGTTTTTTCTTGATGCTGCACTATCGAAATATTCTTCCTGTAGATTCAGGCTACGTATACTCTTTTAAAATTGAAGTTTTTGTTGTGTTGTATCCTTCTTTATTTGTCTGAAGAGCTTCTGTTTATATGAAATCCACTGCTCACTGGCAGATGAAAGTTTTTGCATATATTTCCCCGAAACGTGGGAATATTATCGAGTAATGAATCTCGATCCCTTCGAAATGTTTTCATGTTCCTGAAAATGTGATTTGAGGAAATCAGTGTGCGAACTCAGTTTTATCAGGATTTTAGCTTAATCGATATAGTTATTGTGCCATACTCACTAAGTTAGTTTCCCTCCACTTATTTGGCAGAAGTACATTATTTTGATGGCATTTTACATACTAATCATATGGGAAATGAAAGTTTGGAAGTAAGAGCTCATATTTTAAATGAAGGTGTTGACATACGACCGTCTTATTGATGATTTTAATGATGAGGCCATTCTGGAATGTCTTATAAGGATGAGCTTGTTGACAGACTAGCATGTAATGTTAGCAAAGAAACGTGTAGGAAAGGGACAGAGGAATGATATGTGTGTGCTTTAGGTTCCAGTCTTACTGGAATAAAACTTCAGTCAGAACGACTTCATTCTTTCAACGATCTAAAATCACACTGCGAAAGGTCATATTAATTTTTGTCCACTGGGTTCTGGAAGCACCAATATCCCATGCAGTTGTCCTGACTGATGTAGCTAAAGCCATAGTATTGCAGTGGTGTCAATACTGTCTAGATTTGTGTCGTGAAATATTAATCAACCTAAACCCGTCCTTCGGACGTGTTAGCAGAGTCGTGCAAATCGATGGAACTGTTGTTCGGAAGAGACAAATGTAACGGGTAGAATTGTGAAAGTAGCTTAGTTAAGTAATAGTTTAATCAGTTTTGGTAGTAGGTTTTCGTTATTCAGGATATAACTACGGCAAAAGGACAGATAAGTCAGTCAATACTAACTTTGTTTCTTTTTGCAAAATCAAAAAATTTATCTTACCCTAGGATAGGCTGTTTAGAGGTGTCAGTTGCCAACATAAATCTAACCTCACTTAAGTGTCTCAATAGTTCTCTTCCACATCTCTAGATTTTATATCCTTATCAGCTCTTTTTCTTTAGTTCAATCTTTTCATCATGCAGTATTGGCTTTCAAAATATCATTCAAAGTACCCGTAACTTACACTTTAACCTGTAAGAAATTTCCATTGACTAGGCCCTGTACTTAATGGGACAAGCACATATACTGACCAACTCTAAATTCCTGTAATACATATACAGGGTCTGAAAGAAACTAAAATACACGACCATAACGTGATCGCTTGCTTGATTTCACCTTGTTATTGTGGAAAACGAGCTTGGTTCGCCATCCAAGTTTCTCTTTATTCAATAGCCACTCGTGATCTTGTAAGTGTAAATATCAAATAGAGTCTAGAGACAAAACGGGAATTCCTGAACTTAATTCCAGTTGGTCAAATGGGACTGTAGTAAATTGTATGAGTAGTGTGATAAGCCCCTTGCTTTCCCATAATATCTGGCTCTACTTGAGGCAACTGTTATCTGGATAACATTTGCGACCCACAAATTTTTGCCTCCCTAGATAGTTTTATTTTCGTCCAGCATGCGTTTTTGTCAGGTCCCATGTTTTAGCACCAAGTCCAAATCGATGAAGCTGCGTATTTACCAATCTCACCACTTATAAGACATTGATTATAAAATGCACTCAGTCCTCATATGGCCTACATCTGCAGAAACTATAACTCGTAGTTGTATAACAATTTAGCTCTGTAGGGCTAGTAGCTTTGTCATTTTAGTTGCCTTAAGTGTTTTTCATGCTTTTAGAATAGCACGGTTTCGCAAAACTCAAGATGCATTTTAGAATGTGCGTTAATTTTTATTATTTGTCAACCTCAGTATTGCTAAAACTTATGTTAAGCGGTTGACATGAATATCCACTTTATATATTTAAACTAGACATATGTGAAGATTGTATAGCAGAATTTTATATCTTAATAAAAATTTCACGTCAGTATTCTCACTGATGACACCAGCTTCAGTGAATATGTCAGTAGTATTCGATCTTAATTCATATTTATCATTTCTAGTGTTAATAGAATAGATTTTCACGTTTTAAATGTTCACTATAGTAGTACACAATGCTACACTATGAGTCTGTTAAGGATCACATTTTTCCTCATACCTTACATCGATCAACACTTTGGTTAGTTTTGGTGCATTGTTTATTATATTTATATTTCAAAAATTATTGGAACAAAAGAAACACGTAAATATTTGTGCCAAAAAATCATTAAATTTGTTTGAACCGAAGCAGATGCTTTTCTTAGACGGCCACTCCATGAGCCTTTAACCTAAAAGTGTAGTCCACAAGGCAGTGAAGCAATGTTAATGTATCCGGTCCCCTGATAGCCTTTGACCACCAATAGATTCATATGCGATTTGTTTCGTTAAGATGCTGGAACCCATGTGCACCAGTGTTTTGTGATTAGTATTTCCGAACTACCGTAGATGAATCCTCGTACCCGTCAAGACGGTTAAAATTCCGAATGTAGGCTTTTTGTCCTTCCATTTTTGTAAAAAATACTTCCGACACAAGAAGATAATGAGTAGGACTTCTCTGTCAGTAGTTTTATACTCGTGACCATATAAGAGCATCTTTAGAAGGAGAGCGGACTCACTCCACTCTAAGCTGTACCAGGGTACTCAGCTGTAACTATCTTACACTATTCTTGTAAGTAATCGGAAATTCCACTAGTTAAATATTCGTTAACGGGATTTATAATAATAGATTTATTATTCTATTAGTATCTGTTCATTATCACTATCTCTTTTATACTATTTCCATAATGTAGTTTAAAAAGTTATCAGTTCCTAATCAACGAATATATATCTTGAATTAATCTTATATTTAAAATGTAATCAGTATGCTAAAGCTCATAAATCTTTTGCCGTATTAAATGTTTCTACTCAAATACAAGCAATTTCAATGATATACATATTTTTAACTTAACTAATCAATGCCAACAGGATCATCCATGCTTCTTGTGATAGTTTATTTAAGGCAAAGTAAATCACTTCTTTTGTTAGATCATGATATGTAGTAGACAGAAAAAACTAAAACTTAGATAACTAAATATATTATTATTATTATCAGCTTTTGTTTTCCGATTAAAAATAGAAAATATCTCGTCAAAAAAACCCAGTAAACAGAAGAAATAAGTTCATGAAAAACTAAATTTATCATAATTATCCTACGCTTTCTGTGTGTGTATATATGTCTATAACTAACTAATAATGTTTTTATATTATCCCGATATTGTTCCCATCAATATCTATTATGTTTACTTTAAATATTGATATGTATTAAAGATTTGTATACAATGGTGATAGTTTATTATCAATAGAATAATGTGAATCTTTTGTTGAAAAATTTCTATTTGTTTGATTAGTAGTAGTTTGTTTCTGTAATTCATTTGTCATATCAGTTGTTGTTGATGATAGTTTTGTTCTAATTGAATCCATATGATTTTTATCATAATTTAACATTTGTGAATGAGTAGTAGTATCAGTTTGATTTGTTAATGTTAACATTCCTATTTCGGTTGAATTAATCTTTTCTCCTTCTTGTTGTTGTTGTTGTCTAAGATTTGTAGAATCTATCAACCAACTAGTGTTATTATCATTTAGTATTTGTTGTCTTTTAAATTCTGATAATCTAGTTTTGTTGTCTTCTAATAATGAATTTGTATTTTTCATTGTAAATTTACCTAAATTTATATCATCATTAGTTTGTCTGAAGTGTTCTTTATTATAGACAGTATCTTTCTCTCCATATTGTCTAGTATAATTATCATAATTTTCACAATTGAATTCATCTATAAGTTGCCTATTAAAATGTTGATCTTTTGAATGAGCTAATGTCGACTGAGTTTTCTGCGCAGTTTCATTTGTTACGAATGATTTCGATGATGGTAATGATTGTTCTATGCAATGACTATCCATTTCATTATCAACAGTAATGATCTTTTCAAATTGATTGGTTGAATGATTGTCATTATTATTAGTAGTAGTATTGGTATTCAATAGATTTCTAGTTGTGATTGTTGGTGTTACTGCAATAGCTGCAGCAGCTACAGCAGCAATCGAGGCAGCACCGAATTCATGTTGTTTTCCGCCAATAAAAGTAACCATACGATTTTCTTCTTCTTTTTGTTCACGTTGTTTTCTTCGATTTTGTAAATAACTATTTATCCATTTCTGTGTTAGGCAATAAAACAAACACAAAGAATAAGTGGACATAAATATTTTGCTAAGAATGTGGATATTTTTACTCTGTTAATATCCCTAACTGTTAACAAATATCATGTGTTGAATGCCGACACCAATTAGGATTAGGTTTAGTTCTTGAAACCATGAGTCTTCACTGTAGCTGCTACCTTGACGTGGTGGTCAAGCTTCCCTATCGTGATGACCCAACCGAGCTATATTGGCTGGAACATATGTTCCTTTAGGTTCTACTATGAAAGCCAGATAGGTGGATTGGAGGACGGTGAAACTAAAAGCCTCAACTGAAGGTTTGACAATGAAGTTGTAGTGCTGACTGTCGAGGGATGTGACAGCGGTAAGGTGTTTCCCTTGGACAACCAGTATCTGCAGCGATGCTGCCTTCTTACAAAGTAAGGAAGGGGTTAGAAACGGTCGACCCTAAAAATGTCACACCTCACCTTTCCTCACGGTTTTCCGTCTCCGGCAGTAAGGCCACTTGAAAATAGTCGCTTGTACGTTATCCTACTAAACGAGACAGTAAGGACTCGAAAATAAGGGGATACTCGCCGTTGCTTATTTGTTGTTTCTGTCTACTCTCCCACTGGCTGAAGCTCAGATGTAGTAAAAGATGAGTTTTACAGGAAGCCTCCTAATCTTTGAAAAGTCATTAACGCATGTTTATCTGATAATTATTAGTTTCATCATATTTCCCGTCTTTATTCCTTCACATATACTATATTTCATAATATACATTTAAATGTTTCAACTGTTTGTTTTAAATCACTTCAATAAATGAGTAGATTAGTGATAGCAAAGGGAAAAAATTACATTGGATAGTAGAATTTCAAAACGCTTGGTTTAAATCTAACTGTTAACATTCAATCCACAGTTTAATGCCCATTTGTTGATTGTCTCATTAATGAGTTGGTTCATATTCCCTAATCATCATTTATCACTAGAGTTTCGATAATTCATTTCAAACTTAATCATGATTTACGAACTATCTCAGAATGTTCTAAACTAAAAGACGAAGAAAATAATAGGTACTTTATAGTTTCGTATAGTTCAAATGATGATTGAGCCATGTTAGTAAGTGTAGACTACCTGGTTATGGTCCGCGAGACAATAGAAACCGATAGTTAGAGACTGAATGATATGGCTCAAAATCGTTTGCATTAGTGTGGGTGCATCTATTGTCAGTGATCTTTCAAATTCTACTCTTCTGAATTCTTCATGACCTTCATCTTTCTCTTCTCAAATTTATTTCACTGTATTATACTTCTTGAACAATGTCCTCGAACCCCAATCTCTCCGATTACTGCTAATATTTCTACTACCTCCATTACTATGGGATGTGAATTGACGATTGCGTGTCTATGCTAGTGTGGTGTGGCAATTTCAACTGATGTACATACGTACAAAGTTCTACGTTGTAGCTGACTAACTGATATTGATTTATGGTGAAAAGTAACTTCAAAATTAAACAACCTTTACGAAATCACTGTCCTTTAATAATTAACCATCATAAACAAATTAATTTATTGAACAATAAAACCTTTAGGAAAAAACAAATAACAACTTACTTGTACTATTGTAACTACTGCATGATAACCTAATGGAATCGGTGCAAATAAAACTATCCATAATGCAGAGACAGCGGCTAAATCACCTTCTGGTGCATGTACACATGTTCTTAACAATGGCATACATAATAGACCATTAAATACGGACATTGCTGTTGACAATGTCCTTGATCTTGTACAATTTTGATGTGTTAATAATCCTGCAAACCAACCAACAATAAATCCACTTGTAATTAGAGATAATAAAGCATAAATTAAATTTTGTGTCACTTCATTAAATGCATAATGATTAATGTATACACCTAATGTAATCAATAATATTCCAGATAATAGAAGAAGTGGTCTAGTTATCCATGTTAAAATTGCACGTGCTAAACCAGGTCGATAACCTCTCATTAAAGTTCCTAAACATTGTGCTGAAGTCAAAAGTATTAACCAACCAAATGTTTTCTCAATATTAATTGGACGATTAAACCAATACCAACCAATGGTAATAGACCAAAATGGCATGATCACTACAAAGAAAAGATAAATATAAAATGGGAATGTTAATATTACTATAGATGTTTATTGAAATAAGAAATATAAACGATTACACTACTTATATGATGATACGGACTACTAGTTATTCTTAACCACATCTGACAATGTCTCAAAACATTATCCAGTTCATTAATCTTTAAAACTTCAATCAAATAATTGTACTCTAATAATAGTTACCAATGCTAAAAAATTATTTTTCAATTAGAGCTGTGAAGATTAGTGTTTTTTGCACATTTAAAATCATCAATCAATGATTATTAGACCACCATTGGAAACCTGAAAGCACTGAACGGCCATTTCGTCCTGGTATGGGACGGTGCGCATCAAAATTGTTTTCACATTCTATGGTATAATATCGTGAGTTGATTGAATCTGTCTGTCTCTTTTACATCTCATCTTATCATTCACAAACCTTTTAGGGTGTAGAAGCGAAATATTGTGTAAGAGATTTAATCTGTATTTTAAATAAAGCCGTCTGATCAGTCTATGCTTGATGATGGTGCTATTCCAGCCATGGAGGTTGGTTAAGCTTCTGTTGGATAAATTGATTGATTCTCTCCTATATTTGCTGCTGAGATGATGTTTTTCTATTTACCGACCTGTTTATTTTTTGTTTTTGCTAAGGCCTCTCTTTTTTTGTCATAAGACAGACTTTACAACTTACGTCCTCTTTGTGCGAGCAAACAAGCGTATCTTTTGTGTATATCTAAGCACATAAATTACCGAGGCCCAAGCCCCATGTAGTTCGTATAGGTAAACTAGCACATCAATCAGTCCATAAGATTTTTTGTTCGTGAACCCCGAGGACTCAGTCCATCAGTTACGATATTACAGTGGTTGATAAACCCAATCTCTACCAACCGTCTAAGTTAGCTAACACGATTGCCCTTATTATTACCTAGCTGCGCCACGAGGTCATTAAGTTGGTTATTAAAAACTCCAACTTACAAAACTTAGTTTGTCAATATCATAAAGTCAACAAAGTTGTTTTACTACACAAGAAAAAGAATTCGATAATCAGGATAACAATATACCGTAAACCTTTTTTGAAAAGAATTCTATCTTCTATCACTTAGGTTTGAATTTGTTTCATTTAATAGACAGTTTACAAGGTTTTGATTTGTTTTTCTAGTGTTCACTGTCGGTTATTTGATAGGAATTACTCTTCATCAATAATTCCTTACCATGTATCCCAAATTGGGAATCCATACGTTTAGATTTAATTTTTGATGAAAGCTTACTTTTGCATACTTTGTCTATTTTTAAGTAGTATAAATAGTTACAATAAAATAAAAATCGGGTATGTATTGCTTCAGACTTCATTCACCATCGGCCACAGAAGAGCAAACGTCTTTTAAATAATAAGTTTTCGTAGAAGGAGATATTTTATCAGATAGGCCTCACAAAAAGAGACCCGAAATATTTTAATCAGAATATTAGGATGAATCATTTACTAACAGTTTACTGGACGTTAGCCTACAATCTAGCTTTTATCTTATCTAATTAGTCTTAAGAATCATCGCCCCTAAATGGTCTAGTACACCCGAAAGTAAGAAAAATCATCCCTCCCCTCCAAAATCGTCTCATGTGGCAACTTGAATATTGCTACTACCAGAGGAATCCCACTCAAGGCCTTCTCGTGACACGAAAAGCAAATGTCCGGTGCTTTAACCGGGTTGATGAATACACAGTTGGAAAACCCTGATTCCAAACCAATACCAATAGTGCAAGTCATGATTCAAACGCTGACATTTCATTCACCAAACTACTGAGTCTAGACAGCACGTTGTAACTTGATCAATAGGTGTTATTTTTTTCATCCATAATAGTGATAATAATGATGATTCTCCTGATATTCACAATCGATTTATTCTAAATATAAATTACTTAATTATCAAGTAGTAAACAATACAATTATCTACATTTACCTAAATTAATAATACTTGCAATGAAAGATAATGCTGCTGATAATTGTCTATCTCCATGACTTAAATAAGTCATTAAATAAGCCAATCCACCAGCCGGTACAGTTGAACATATAAATAAACCAAATGCTTGATCAATATCTAAGCTAAATACCAATCCAATACATATAGCAATCTGAAAAAAAAATTATGTAAGAAATAAAACAAGCAAAAAACGGAGTGACCAAAAAATTGGATTAACTTTTACAATAATTTATCATATTTCTGTTGTTTACAAGATTGGTAAATAGATGAAGTGTTGAAACTTCATCAGTTGAGGAGATTGAGGCATGTGTTACGTATGCCCAACCATCGACTGCCTCGTTGAGCGACGTTTTTTGGTGTAGGTATAGGTCAGAAGAAAGCTAGGGTTGGCCAAACCAAAACATGGCAGAAATCCATGAAGTCACTGACAAGTGGACGGTAGGTGTCGACTACTTGGTTGGGGCCCACGAGATGATAGAAATCTATGGTTAGAGACCCTCAATGACATGGCTGAAAACCGTTTGCGATGGCGCAGGTGCATTTATTCTTTGTGTTCTCTCAAATCCTAACCTTCTGAATTCCTCATGACTTTATCTTTTCTTTGTAAGTTTATTCCAATTCTTGAATAAGATCCTCAAACCCTAAAATTTCCGATTACTTCTAATATTTCTACTATTTGATTTGAATTAGCAATTGCGTTTCTGTGCTAATGTGGTTTAGCAAGTTGAATGGATGTACGTACGTACGAAGTTCTGTGTTGTTATTGACTGACTGACGATAATCTTCAGCAGTAGTTGGAGACGATGGATTAAATAACTCAAAATCTGTCAGGACGGGCCCATTCATTCTGTCACCTGTTTAATGTGACCATTTTATTCATATTTTAATGAGATGGATACTTTCGGAATTAGAGCCATTTTTCGAATTATTATTTTTATTTTATAATTACTGAATAAATGGGTTATTCTGTTTATCATAAGCTTTCGTATAACCCATTAACTACTGTTGTTATACTATTTATCATATCTCATTTACTGTCAATCAATTATTCATACCTTTCCCTATTCAAAACCATATTTGGCTGGTTTATACATAATTATAATTTTTCACTTCATGGTATTGTGTGGTCTGTTGTGTTTGTATTATAAACCTGTGTGTGTGTTAAATGGAATAATAATAGAAACTAACTGCTGACCTCTGTCTTCAACTGAAAAGTGACTTGTGGATAATAGGCCAATAGGAGCTCAACCAGTGTCAGCTGAAAGTTAACTGTGTGAGTCAGAACTGTAATTAGTCAAGTCTACTAGGTCAGACAACGTCGCGCGTTGGGGCAGTCAGTGGTTAGACATACGTAACACATGTTTCAGCCACTTTTGTTAACGAAGACTCACTACCACTTACTCACGTTATCTGCCGCTCTTACCCGGTATTGTTTTCCTAACCTCAGCATTGCCTACTCGGCGTTCCCGGGAGCAATGCTTCGAAGACACCTATGATCAAATGCTAGTAACCTACGAATATCCTCTAATCCTAGTAGCCATATTTCAGACCCGTATAGTAGAATGGAGTGAACTGCTGCGCAATAAACTTGTTCAGTGGACAAATATCTTGCGTACGCCGCTATATCTGACTCAAAATGGCAAAGCCATATCAATCAGTTCAGTTTGTACCGTTTATTTTTTCTCTCCTCACTATTGTGTACTTCACGTTTCATTCTTTCTATTTATAAACAAACAATATACAACGGTCTATTACAAATTAAGCAAGCAATGAGTATATCTTTATTTTAAAATAGATTGAAAGCGGTTGAATTTTGGAAACTGTAAAGAGGGAACTTGAGGAAATGATTGACTATTTTATTAGTTTAACTCTTTTTGTCTGCATTATATATAGGATATATTGTATTTATTAAAATACACATAAATCTAACTGGTTTTCACTCTCTAGTTGTTCAATAAATACACATACAACATAATAATAATAATAATAATAATAATCAAAGGAAATTTTCTTCGAACATCAACTATCCACCATATGTGTTATGTTACAAAGTGTGTGTGTGTGTATATCTATGGTGTTGCTTTTTTCTTTCCTCTTGTATTTTGTATAATTTAATTAGAGTACACAGACAATGAATGTAACGGGTTTATTCTGTATTCTAGTAGCAGTAATCATCTAAATTATCGATCCAACTATTAATTGTTACAATTAATTGCAGTGAACATCTGTTTTTTTTCTCCTCATGAAAACATTGAATTATTGAGGTGAAACGTTGGTCATTCAAAAACTTAATGCTGAGGTTAATTGTTTGGTATTAGACAAATATGAAAAATCAGTTGATGAATCTTCACCAACTGAGGTGGTTGTGACACGTGTTTTGTGCGCCAACCATCGACTACCCCGATGCGCGATGTTTTATAATGTTGTGGTAGGCTGGAAGAAAGCTAGGGGTGACCAAACCAGAACATGGCATCAGTTGATGAAGTCACTGACAACTGGACTGAGTAATGTTGGTAAGTGTTGACTCTTTGGTTGGGGCCCGTGAGATGATAGTAACCGGTGATTAAAGACCGTGAATGACATAGCTCAAAGTCGTTTGCAATAGCGCAGATGCATCCATTATTTGTCTTCTTTCAAATTCCAATGTTTAAAATTCCTCATGACCTTTTTTCTCTTTCGAAATATATTTCACTGAAATATACTTGTCGAAGTGTATCTTTTTTCCCTAATTTTCTACATTACCACTCATACTGTTACTGGTGTTTCAGTCAGTAACAACGTAGAACTTCGTGCATATATACATGAGTTCAAGTTGTTACTCAACGGATACCACAGAGATGCAATTGTTGATTCAAATCCCATAGTGGTAGACGCAGTAGAAGTATGAGCAGTAATCGGAAAGACTAGGGTTTCACGATGTTATTCAAGGAATATAATCCAGTGAATTAAATGTGAGAAGCGAAAGATGAAGATGATGAGGAATTCAGGAGACTAGAATTTGAGGGAAGACAAAGAGTGGATGCACCTGCGCCATTGCAAACGATTTTGAGCCATATCATTCAAAGTCTCTAACCATTGGTTACTATTGTCTGGTGGATATCAACCAGGTAGTCTACACCTATCAATATGCCTCAATGTAGGAACGTATACTACTGATATGACATGTATACTAGGTTCTACGTTGTTTATTTCTGGTTGACTGATTTACTGACTGATTAACAAACTTTAATTGATAAATTAAGCATTAGAGTTATATTTAGTAGAAAAAAAGTATACTACTTTTGTCAATATAAAATACTATAAAATGTAACTTTTTTACTAAGGAAAGGCCTATATCACAGTATGTGAGAAGTTGAATGAAATGTGGTTTAATCAGTCGGTCAACTACATCGTCGAACTTCGTACGTACGTACTTACATCAGTGCAAGTTACTATACCACACTCGCACAGCTATAGTTTAATACAAAAAGTTGTCTTTCAGTCTCGGCTATATGTTGTTTGCACGGTTCCATAGATTAATCGTTCCCATGTCAATTTGGTGTCGGATTTTAACAATCAATAGACTTCTCACGAAATATTTAAGAATTCTTTAAGCTACTCACTAACTAATGCATATTTAACATGGAGAACTTGTGTTGATTGTTCAATTTGAAATTAATTTTGAAAAAAAAACTTGGTAAATTTTATTTGCAGTTGTACTCCTGATGAATCTAACGATAAACTACAAAATGAATGTTTTATCCTGTTTTTTTTGAAACCGAATCAACTTAGTTTTTTTATACACACTAATGCTTCTACTGAGATAACCTATCAGACCACGTTATATAATAGTTTAATGCATAAATTTAGTCATCTCTAATATTGTGATACTCGTCAATTGATATGCTTGAATGCTATAACGAGTTCACCTTAGTCTGTAGACAAGAGCAAAGACAAATGATCCAGTGACGTGATAGGTTACTCTAAGCCGAGCGTCTCAATGCCCCACTAAGTAGAGGAAAGAGAAGTCTTGACAAGACGTAGAAAGTGTATTCTACAAGCACTGAGAAAATATGAGGTTAACAAGCACACAAATTGAGTTTATTTATACATGATAGAAACGTCCTTGGTAGAGCCATAAAAATAGCTTACTAAAATAACACATCAACCAATAGAAATCAAGGATTCTCCTGGTGTACAATGTAGTCTCAAGGTTAACCGATAAGCTCATGAATAAAATCCAAAATTAGGACATTTATCAAGTGAGTTCTGAGGATATAACGTCCCCAATAAATATGATCTTTCTGGTACATTAGATCAGTATAACACAAAGTAAATATGATCTATGTATACTTATAGAAATAAACATTAGATTTTATTTTTTCATTGTTACTTATTAAACCAAAACAACATATACCTTGAGGGGTAATATTTACTTGTTATATTATTATTTCTGCCTTTTTTTCATTATCTTAAATCTAATCAATAACGACCTTTTTATACTTTTTTTATAAATCATTGAGGTAAAATAAAGTATCTTGACTGCATGAAGCCTTAATTAGCTGTGTTTTTAAGTGACCTATATTTTTTTTTGGAAAATGCTATATAAAATGGGGGTTGAAGGTAGCTAATAGGAATTCCTACTTGACCTAGTTTTCATACTATACATTACTCGTTAGTTAGATGTACTTGTAATCTAAACGGAACTGATGCTTTTTGGCGTATTTGATTAACACTAAGATAAACCTGAAACATATGATTGTAGTCACTACTCAATGATCAATCAGTATCTTGGTCCCTTAAAAGGTCAATCACATCCCAAATATCTGAGTAGTAATGTCCCTGACTGTAAAGCTGAATGTCACGATACTGAATATATCCAGAAGCAACAGCTCTCTTAAGATTAAACGTACACCTTACTGACAAGTACTGAACAGTACGAAATCTAAGTCAAGTAGGGTTTTCTTTTGACTACCTTCAACTATTTCTACTTAGCGCACGTAGTATCAACTTACCTAATTTAGTGGTTACACTGTAATTGGAATGATAAGATTCGATTAGCTCTAAGAAAGATTTAACACTGTTCACTACTCAATGATTATTTGTTTTTTCATTATTACTACTCATCCGTGATTGATTTTCACACAATATTATCATTTAAGTAGTATGGTACATTTGTTGATAATGTTAGATTCTATCAGAATTTTAATGTACTTTAAGTTAGTACCTGTGTATATCATCGTGATTACAACTTACATCAGAATAATGTTTTTTAACTCATTAAACATTATTTATTATGAAAATCATTCTTTAAAATTTAGATTTACACGTAATCATGATTTTACTAAATTGTAATTTGATTATTACTGTATTATTTCAAATCAATAAGCATTGGTTTTCATTGAAACCATAAATCGATAATTGTTGTTAGACATTTGAAATCACCAATCAATCATTGTTAGGCCACCATAAGAAACCTGGAAGCACTAGACAGCCGTTTCGTCCTGGTATGGGACTCATCAGCAGTGCGCATCCACGACTCCTGCACCTCTCAGGGTAAGGTGGCACAAAATCCCTAGATCAATCAGAGTTAGACATTAACACTGTTGGATGCCGGCCCAGTGGTCCGGAGGTAAGGCTTTCGCGCACAAGACCGAAGGTCCCGGGATCGAATCCTGCGAGGTGCAGGAGTCGTAGATGCGCACTGCCGATGAGTCCCATACTAGGGCGAAACGGACGTTCAGTGCTTCCAGGTTTATAATGGTGATCTTATAATGATTGATTGGTGATTTCGAATGTGTAAAAACACTAATCTCCATAACTCTGATTGAAAATTGTTGTAAGACCACCACTAGATACTAGGAAACACTGAACGGCCGTTTGGTCCTAGTATGGAATTCTTCAGCAGTGTGCATCCGCTATCTCTCCTCGCGCATAACCTTAGATTGATCCAAGTTAAACATTAACACCATTGGGTGCTGGGCTCACTGGTCTATAGTTTAAGTGTTTGCATGCGAGATCGAAGGTACTGGGTTCGATTCTCGTCCCTGCACACTAAGGTGAAACAGCCATCGAGTGGATCCAGGTTTCCAAATGATGGTCGAACAACAATAACAATCTACATAACTCTAACATGAATATTAATAAAAGTTTATGAATTTTTTTTTTCATGTCATCTTTTCAACTATTAAACAAATATACATATATGTATATACGCATACATATATTTATATATACATTATTTGTCATATTGAAATGTGTTTTTTTCTCTTATCATCATTTAACTAATTTCTTATTATGAAAAGATTCAGCATGCCTTCTTTTCTTATTGATCAGCCAACTATCCACACCTAGTTAGTGTGTGTTGTAGTATGCATGTTTTATTGTCTTTCTCTCTCTCTCTCTTTGTGTTCTCCACCTCGTACTTGTTTGTACCATATGATGCATAGGTATTTATTTTTATTGTTGTTGAAATAAAAATAAAATAATAACCTTGCAAAAAGAATTTTGTTCACATTAAATTAAGTTTTGAATCATTTATTTTATTTTATTTGTTTATTCTTTGGTTGGGTTATTCTTGGATTTTTTTGTTGTTGTGACCAGTAATTTATCGATTTATTGGGAATATATTATATATAACATTATGTAATATCAAGCCAATGGGATATATTTATTACTTAATTCAAAAAGGAAGTGTTTATATGTATATCCAAATGCCTTGGTACAGCCGATAGTGGAGAGAGTTCTCTCTTCCCTTGTGAATTTTCTCATATGGCTATGAATGTATAATCACTGTCAGAGAAGTCCTACTGACCACTGCTTTCTCTTGTTGAAAGTGATGTTTACTAAATTGAGAAGACGAAAAGCCAGTGTCCGGTCTGAGCTTTAGTCAGGTTAGTTGGTGTGAAGGATCTATCTACGTAGGGGAGTTGGAAATTCCTGATTCCAAACCAATGGTGCATAGAAGCTTCAGAATCGTAATGAAACGATTGGTGCATGAACCTATTATTGGCCACCGGCTACCGTCGAACTGCCTCTCCTAACATTACTCCACTGCTGTATGGATTAGACTTTTGGGTCAACGACTCATGGAGTGGACCCTCTAACAAAAAACCACATGCTTCACTTTAGTCATACAGATAGTATCCCAGTTCACTCACAAATTCAATAACTTATGTGCCTGATCAATATCTAAGTGCCTCTTTGTATCAATGTTTATTTGTTGAAATAAATAAAAAAACGATCCAGTTGAACTACAACAAATAATTGGATAAACAGTCTGAGTAAATTAACTTTCAATTATTATGTTGTATATTCATTCCAGTCTATTGTGTAACCTAGTAATTCTACTTGACCTTCGACAATAAATAATCTGTGGTTTGAAAATGAACACATAGCTGTGTATACTTAGTGATAATGTATTTGAATTTTGATTAAAATGGTTTAAGAGAAATACTTTCAATTATTGTAAACATCACATCATTGTTTTATTATTAAAGGTGTACACAAAATATCGATCTACCTGTGACGTTCTTTTTATAGTTTGTTGAAATATTTTATGAGTTAATGTTGATTTTTTAACTAGTGTAATGTCTGAAAGCTGTATTGTACTTTTTTTTAAAATGTTGGGATGAACACTGACTTATTGAATGGTCATGAAGGACTAAGGTTGAATAATTCTTTATTTTGCATTCCTGAAATTCTTCAGTTTACTGAAGAAACTTGAATTTAATCATTTTCTCTCATTGTGGATAGATTTTTGTTAAAATATTTCTTTTAAATTTCTAATAAGACCGTAGTAGTTTTTATTATTGAAACAGTTAATTATGTGTATGTCACATAAATCAATAAATTTTCATATGGGCAGGAATATTGTCCGAGTCATGACCTAACGGTTTAATCCACAAGGCAGCGGAGTAATGCTTAGATGTACATTCCCATGTTATCGGGGCAATTAGTAATAGGTTTATGTGCTAGTAGTGAGTAGGGCTTCCCTGAAAAAGTGGCTATATGCAAGCATTTCGAGGAGTTGGTTGAAAGAAAGCTAGGGACGGCCAAACCAAAACATGGCAGATATCCATGAAATCGCTCACTGACAACTGGATTGAGTCATGTTGGTTGGGGCCCGCGAGATGATAGTAATCGATGCTTAGAGACCTTAAATGATATGGCTCAAAACCGTTTGCAATGGCACAGTTGCATTTATTCTTTGTAATCTCTCAAATCCTAATCTTCGAAGTTCCTCATCACCTTTATCTTTTTAAGTTTCTTTCACTAGATTCTACTTCTTGAACAATATAGTTGAACCCTAATCTCTTCGATTACGGCTGATATTTCTACTACTTCTACTACTATGGGATTTGAAGTGACAATTGCGTTTTTATGCTAATGTGATATGGCAACTTGGACGGATGTTCGTAAATACGTACGTACGAAGTTCTTCGTTGTAACTGACTGATTTCCAGAGGAATATTGAACTTTCTTCATTCGTGACCATACCAGAACATTTGAGGGGTAGTAGTTTTTAACAAAATAAACATTTTGAATCACAAACAGTTGAATGTATATAGATAAAACGTTATCCTCCTATTGCTTGTAATTGTTTACCTGTTTTATGGGCAAATTGTTTTAAGACCTCAAACTCATATCTTTCATTCTTTTACTTAAAATCATTAACTATTTACTAGTTATTTTTTTGAACTGAACTTCTCTATCAAAATGCTCCAACGAGATGTGCGTTGCTGACAACTAGGAAGGAGTGTGTTGTAATTCAGAAATGATTTTGACCTAGAAAACTTATAGCTCAGAGGCATAAGCAACTTTACAATCAGTTGAGTGGCATTGAGATAATTAGGAACAATAACTGGTTGTTATGCTTAGTGATCGAAAATTTTGTTCAATTAGACTTTTTTTCTTTCAGTTGTGAAGACTTTCCCGGAAATACCACTTAATGTATTTAGCCATTCATTCAAATATACAATGCAACTCAATAACTTTATAGAGATTTATGTTCTAAGCTTTAATCCGTACTCCGGTTCAAGTTAGCAGAGAGATGTAATTGTCAATTCACATCCCATAGTAGTAGAGACAGTAAAGGTATTAACAGTAGTCGGAGAGGTTAGGATTAGAAGATATTATTCAAGAAGTAGAAACTAGTGAAATAAACTTAAAAAGAAAAAGATAAAGGTGATGAATTCAAAAGGTTAGGATTTGATAGAACACCTGCGCCATTGCAAACGGTTTTGAGCCATGTCATTCAGGGTCTCTAACCATCGATTTTTATCTTCCCGCGGACCGCAACCAGATAGTTGACACCTACCAACATGACTTAGTCCTATTGTCAGTGACTTCATGGATTTGTGCCATGTTTCGATTTGGCCGCCCCTAGCTTTCTTGCAACCTATCCCTACACAGCAAAATATAGCTCATCGAGGCAGTCGATGGTTAGGCATACGCCAGGCTGGTCGATTGAAGAACGATGAGACTGAAAGCAGCTACTCACGATCTGAGGGCGAAGTCGTATTTGTGATTGTAGAGAGGTGTGATAGCAGTAAGGTGTTTCCCTCGGACAACCAGCATCTGCAGCTATGCTGCCTTCTCACAAGGAAGGAAAGGGTTAGAAAAGGTTGACCCTAAAAATGTCACACCTCACTTTATCTCACAGATTTCTGTCTCCGGCGGTAAAGGCTTTTAAAGAAGAACGGAGCTAATATATTAAAAGCTTCTCATAAAAAGGCCGTGCGTGAAGGGCCTCAAACAGTTGTTCGTTGGGCTCTGCGTTCACGCTCTCAAATCTCTACGACCAACGCTAATCTACTTTTCATTCATCCAACAACCTAATTATTCAAAAAATTGAATTTCTCTTATACTCTAAAAAAAAAATAAAATAAACACACACACACACACATTCATTATCACCTACCATTGGAATAAGAATTAATTGACTTAATAAACCAATCAATATAGCTTTTAATTCATATAATTCTTCTTTAATCATAATTGGATCATTACAACAACCAGTAGATAATGCAAGCATAAATGTTATAATTGCTGAACTCCAATCTGATGCCATATAAAATTTTTGTGGTCTTAATAATACAGTTAACCATAAATAATTTCTCCATACACCATCATTATGATCATCGAACGGCGGTTGCGCATAGTCATCCATTTGTTGTTGTTGTTGTTGTTGTACATAAATTTTTGCATCAGTAATTTTTACTTGTTTCAAATCATGTACAATTGAATTGATTGGTGAATTAGTTAATTGATGTAATATTTCTTCTTGTAATTGTTTCTGATGTTGTATCATTTGTTTGAAACTAGTGATTGTTGTGTTAGTAGTAGTAGTGCTGTTGTCGTTGTTTGTAGTCACTAATGGTGAACTACCACTGGATCGATACTGACGAGCCTCATCACCGTCAACATCACCATCATCATCATCATCATGATCATCATTTAGATTGTTCAATGAATCAGTTGATTTAGTCAATTTTTCAATATATTTTCTTGATGTACTATTAATCCAAATTAATGTTGTGATAATTTGACTATGACCTAAATTTTCTGCATGGATATAAAATCCATTAGTTTGATTACATTTTATTTCTAAATATAATGTGATACATATAGAATTAGAATGTTTATTATGAGTATTAGTATTAGTATTATGATTGGACATGTTGTCACAATGATGTAAATGTATATTTGAATGTATTCGTTTCGATAAGGATAAAGCAATCACATGACTATTGGATGATGTAATCTTGTATAATAATGTTGTCCGAGTTTCATTCATTTCCATCGATGAATTCTGATCACTTTGTTCTAATTGGTCAAAATATTGTTGACGACAACAACATGTACAAGTCAGTTCAATCCATTGATATGTGCCTACATTTAATATAGGTGTATGTGGTGAATGTTTCCATTGGGTATTTTCTTTATGTTGATTATCTGGTTTCTTGCCTAATTCTATATGATAATTTACGGTACAATTAAGTGATTCAAATAGATTTGCTGTTGACAGTGATGATGATGATGATGATGATGATACTGGTGTTGTAGTGTTGTTCACTGATGCTATTGCCTCATTCTTCACTTCAAGTATGATTGCATGACAATTTGTCAACATCCAATAATTGAATAATGAAATAATATAAAATAAATATAAAATATATTTCATTGAATAATTAATTAATTAATTAATTAACATTTCAATATTACATAGTAGTTATATCACAGTAATGACATAATACATTGTACACAATACGATCATTATTTATATATCAGATAGATATTTTATGGGATATATATCGTGATTTTTGTGTTTGTAAACACGAGGAAAACATATTTATTTACATTGAATAGAAAAATATCCTCTTAATTGATTGTTACATTTTTTATGTAGATACCAAAAAAAAATAATCAATTAAATTGCCAATTCATAAAAATTTGTTTTAATATGTACAAGTTTGTTTTACTGCACACAAAATTGAAAATTGAATCCCAGATAAGCCATCTCATTGGTAATCATTTTTCTTCACTTTTCTAATCAGCAATTTTTGATATAGTGCTGAAATTGTAACAATTTAATTTCTTTTATTTTTTTTGATCAATTGTAAAAGTGAATTGTTGATCAAAATAATATAAACACTATTATTGTTCTGTGGTTTTTCTTATTTTCTGTGTATTCGCTGTGACAATCTATGGTTGTTTCGTATTTTTATATAGATTATAACAGCCAATAGGCTTGCTGTTTGCAATTTTTGTGTTTCCCATAAGGAATTCTATTTGATAGGTGTGTGTGTGTGCGTCTAATTGTGGAGAGAGTAGTGAATAATAACCTTGATTAGTTATTTATTTATTAGCTAAGACAAATTGTTAAGAAAACAGACACATCTAACCATGTGAATGTAGATGTACACAGTTCAGTTCAGTTCAGTTCATGTTTTATAATTTTTAATGGCAATAAGGAAAAAAAAAGAAGATAGGAAATGGTCCCATCGATTTCGTGCACATATTTTTGTCCTTGAAAAAAAAATGATGACTGTCATTTTAGTTGTGTTTCAGTGTGAAACTTGCAGTTGGTTTTTTGTTTAACGTTCAATTTGTGCTTGGTTAATTAGTATTTTAGTAATTAATATATTTAGCTTGTTTAAAATTAAAATACTATGAAAATTAAGTTGTTTTTGTGTCTGTGACTTTTTGTAATCAATGAACAATTTGTTTAAAACACTACGGACTGATGTCCTACGTTTGATCTCTGCTTATGATGTCGTGGATGCGCATTGCTCAGAAGTTCATATCCAGAATAAAATGGCTCATTAGTCATCTTAGACTCTTCATCAGTTGAGAACCGTTCTTCAGACAAATTGTCGTTTTTGTTTAACTGCGATTTTATGCGTATCTCAATCGTGTTGCTACTAGACGCTACTAGACAATATGTATGCAGTTATTGGTTAGTTTTGTAAAGGTAGCTTGCTGAGATACTCCATGGTAGTAATTAGATATTTTTATAAACGTATAATATAGAATAAAACCATTATTAATATCATTATGCATTTGTCATTCATACTCGTATTTGTACATCTTGAAAATTAAAAAAATTTCTGTTCACCATCTATTGCAAAACAATTCGGACATCCTAACCAGATTTTTGAAGTGTGAGATAGGAGGTGCTGAAAATTTGAGGGGATATAATTCAACGATTTATTTATTGAGCTAAACTATTCTTGTTAAACCTGGTAACACAGACCTATTTCCAGAAAACACACTTAGTTGTCCTACTTCGCAAAAAGTTGATCTGCAAATTACTGTCGAAGCGGTTACAACTGACTTAGCTGAGCATTTAAACTAACATTACCTTACGTTAGTAGATATGTAGATCCGTTTAACAACACCAAGTTGGTAAGAAAAGAATTCTGTTTGTTATAAATGCATAACAAACTAAGTGGCTCATAGAGAATACTAAAACTCCTTATGACTGTACTAGGAGATTATGTAAGCTCACTAGATTTAGGTTTCTTTTATTCTGTCTGCAACCAGCCTGGTGGTGAGGCGCTAAATATAATTACATCCAAGTACATATCCATGAAGTCACTGACGACTGGACTGTAGCATGTTCGTAAAGATGTGGACTATCTTGTTAGGGTCTGCGAGACGACAATAACCTATGGTTAAAGACCTTGAATGACATGACTCAAAATCGTTTGGAATGGCGCAGGTACATCCACTCTTTGTCTTCTTCCAAATTCTAATCTTCTGAACTCCTCGTCACCTCTATCTTTCTCATTCTAAATTTATTTCACTCGCCTATGCTTCTCGAATCATATTTTGGAACCCTAATCTTCTCCATTACCGCTAATACTTCTACTACCTGTACTACTGTGGGATATGAATTGACGATCGGGTCTCTGTGGAAATGTGGTATGTCAACCCGAACTGATGTACATACGTACGTACAAAGTTCTACATTGTAACTGAATGATTGACTGAAAATTATTAAATACTTTCTAATAACATGTTTTACTTTATCAGATCACTTATCATTATAAAGTTTATTTCAAATACAACCTAACTGGTAATAAATATGTTTCTTTTTTGTTTGTAGTGATGCGATTAAATCGTCCAACGTTTGTTATACAACGATGTGAATCAACTGAACTTTATCTAGATGATATAGCTGGTTGTTTAACAACATCTGATGCCGGTATACGTGGAGATCTTGATGGTGTTGCGTTAAATCTTCTATCTAATGGGAATATACCTTTTTCTTCAAATTTGAAAGAATCTCTTAACTGTGATACTGCATTAACTAATGACAGTAAAGAAAACTATGATTGCGGTATACAACCGAAAGTTGGAGGTTATAGTGAATTGTTAAGTTTAACTCATTCTTTTGGGTAAGTATAAAAATTTCTTTTAAAAACAAAAGTATGCATACATAGAATAGATAGAATGTGTCTAGTATGTTTCGTCCTGGATATACCTACACTATTGATGTTCATTTGGGGGTTCGAACTCAGTATCATATTCACTTCAAACACTAGCACGTTATCTATTTACCTACTGAGTTCAGATAGCCACTCACTTGTGCAACGCACTTGAAACTTAATTGAATTTAAAATGGTTTGAACTATCCTGTTGTTGATATTTTGCCTAGAATTTGGTCAGTCTTGGTCTGTTTATACGCACCATTATGCGTGTTACCTTGATATGGCCATTAATGATATAAGTCTGCATAGAGTAGATAGACTGTAGCTATCAAAACTTATTGAATGTCAGTCAAAATTATCAACAAAAGTATAATACAAACTATTTCAAATTCAATTAAACACTACTAGTAGTTTTAATATTCAGAGGTTAGGCGTTTGCGTGCAAGACCGAGGGTCCTGGGTTCGAATCCTACGAGTAGCAGGGGTCGTGGATACGCACTGTCATTGACAAGTACCGTGGCAGGACGAAACGACCGTCCATAGCTTCCAGATTCCTAATAGTGGTGTAACAATATAAAACAACAATCTCCATAATTTCATAATGAAAAAATAATCATAAAATGTGCTCACTAGTGACTAGTTTCGCGAGACAATTCTTGGAGTTCTAGTATGTAGTCGTGGCCAGTGGAGTTCAACTCTGTCGGGTGTGCGCAGTAACTATCGAAGACAATGGATGAGGTTGCACAGAATCTTTAAATTGATCGGAGTTAAGCATATTAACACCGCCGGATGCTGGCTCAGGTTGGGCGTTCACGCGTAAAACAGAAGGTCCTTGGTTCAAATCCTGTGCATAGCAATAGTCGTAGATGCGCACTGCTGATGAGCTAGTTCAGTACGAGGGCAAAGTGGCTTTCGAGTACTTCCAGATTTCTAATGGTGGTCTAACGATGATTCATTCATGATGTCAATGTAATGATATGTAGAGTCATAGAGTTTATCACTTTTCTGCTGACTGATCCTTGCTAATAACATATTGTATTTTTATAATGTGAAATATTTCACAGTTATGTGTGATTTGTATTATTGTTATTAGTAATTCATTGTCAGTTAAATTGAGCTACCTTTAGACGTCGTAGGTTATTTATCACTCAGAACTGTGTGTATGAAAAACAAAAATGTTTTACATTGGAATTAGAATTTTCTATTTTCTTTTGGGGGGATTTATTCGATCAACTTGTTTTTATGAAAGCCACTAGCTTAAATCGACTAATCCATGTTATGAAAATCTACCATACACAGGCGCATCAACTCTTTGTGTTCCCTCGAATCGTAATCTTCTGGATTCATTAACACCTCTACCTTTGTCTTTCTAAACTTATCTCACTGAATTATACTTCTTGAATAATATCTTCAAACCCTAGTCTTCTTCATTACCATTAATACCTGTACTATCTCTACCACTATGGGATTTGATTTGACATTTGCATCTCTATGCTAATGTGGTATGGCAACCTGAACTGATGTACTTACATACGAAGTTCTACGTTGTAACTGACTGACTGACTGAACATACACTAAGCTTGCATACTTCCTATTCGCTGGTATTTTAAACAGAAAAAAAAACAGAATTATTTCCTTTTTATTTTCTACATTATTAGTTGTGGTTTGTTTTGTTTTGAGGTCAATGTTCTTTCTTTTCTTTATAGTTTAGTTTGAAAATTCAGGTAACACACCCATATCTGTTGATATAATCGGATTTATTCACAACTGACATCATTTTACTGTAAATTATTATTAAATAACCTTGTTATTTCTCATTTGTAACTTCATGGTAACCTGGGCATGAAATTATTTTTTTCATCATTGAACATGTTCAATGTTTGTTTAAGTGAAGTTATCACATAAATCTAACAAAAGAAAAATATAAGATTTTTAATGTGAATAATTAAATGTATTGTTCACCTAACGTATTTCTGTAGTTTAGTAGTTGAATGATGTAAGTACACTTATCAGTGTACTGAATAAGATTTTAAAATTATTATTATTAATATAATTATTAACAGTGAACTCAAAAAAAATGATTGAATGACCTGCTTTATTCAGTTCATTTGGTCAGTTTTCTTCATTCATGTAGTAATTGAATTCTGTTTATTAGAATGTAATTTTTTTAATTGAAATCATGAATCTATCAATGTAAGACTATCATTAGAAAATTGGAAGCAGTGGACGGTTGTTTCGTCCTAACATGTGAGACGACTCATCGGCAGTGCGACTTCACAAGTCGAAATGGAGCCCTAGAATCTTCAATCTCGCACCCGAAGTCTTATCCTTTTGACCACTAAGCCACCATCCAACGGTGTTAATCCCTGACTTCAATCAATCGATGATATTGTGTGACCATCATCCATTGTTTTCAGTAGGTGACTGCCTCAGACCTGGTTTGGTTGAACACTATTGTCTGCGTCTTCTC